TAGGTTGTTCACCTAGAAGACATGGGTGGACCTACAGTAACCACAAGAGTCCTCATAATTGAAAGAGAGAATCAGGAAAAATAGCTGCACAAGACAAACTACCTGCTGTCTTTGAAGATGGGGAAAGCAACCCTTAAGACAATGAAGGCAGGTAGCCTTTAGACAGGCTGGAGAAAAAAATGAAATTCTGTTGTAATCCTAATTTTATCCCAGTAAAAATCACTTTTCGACTTCTAACCTCCAGAACTGTATAAAAAAATTCTATATGGTTCTAAATTATACATGGCCACTAAATATGTGGTAAATAAATAGCCATTTTTAAAGTTATTTTTTCCTATTTCTTGTAAGTCTTTTAATTATTATTCAACAAATTGGGACAGAAAACAAACTAAACATTACAAGATCAAGTACTATGAAACTTACTTAGTTCATAAGCTCAAATACTTCACCACACAGTATACTCTGGGTAGTACCACTGGACGAATGCATGCCAGGACATGTGGTAAGAAATATGTGACCTAGAAATGTAGCCAACACACTCAAGTCACTTTATTTCAACGTGTTATAACTTGAATTTTCCAAGGCAGTAAGAAATGCATAACAGAATAAAAATTAAGATTGTGACTGGGTAGTCAACGTTTTATTTAAAAGCACAGGAAATCCCTTTCCAGGCTTAAGACACCTTCTAAAGGTAGTCAGTCTACAAGGTAGTCATTATAGTATTTCCTAATATCCTTTACTATGTCCTATAAAGTAGGCATTGTATTTACTAATCTTGATAAATGCCACAGGTTCACCCATGCTTTTATAGAAAAGAGGTCAAAAATAAATCATAAAAAATGGGATCTACCCTACAAAAAATATTTAGTGGATCAGATCATAACTAAAAAAAACCACAGCAGACATCCTTCAACAAGTATACATTGTGATTTCCTAAAACTTACCTAATTTATCAAATAATCTGTTTGTAACATCCTCTTATAAATACGGAAAATAAAATATTCAACTCAATTGCTTTTAGATGCTGTATTTATTTTTGTCATCGTGTGGTTTTACTATTTACTTTGTGCATACTAGTAGGTAGTTGTATGTTGCCATAAACACTAAAAATGTTAGATTTTCAGGTACACATTCACAGACTGCATGGTTACACCATGTCTCTTTGGACAACCACAGTCCACTTCTGATTCCCAAAGATTCAAGCCCATAACAAAGCTATAATTTAAAACACATTTTTAACATTATTTAAAGCGTGACTAAATAGATGGACTATTATGTAGACAAAGATAATGTAAAGATTCTGCCCCTAAATTGTCCACAGTAGTAGGAAAACAGGCAGAAAAAAAAAAAAAAAACAGACTAAACAACACCAGAAGCCTAGAGAAAATACATTAGAATTGATAACTTTCTCTGAATAGTCTATGACTAGAGGAAAGCCTGAGGAAAACAGTACAAAGACTAAAAGAGAGCCAGATATAAGAGAAAAAATTTATTTTGCAGGCAATGAAGACAACAATTTCCTTTTTTTTTTTTTCAGTCATGGGGCTTGAACTCAGGGCCTGAGCACTGTCTCTATGCTTCCTTTGCTCAAGGCTAGCACTCTACCATAAGTATGAGAGTGAAAATCAGGTTTAGGAAAACAAGTACATTCGACATACTATTATACTACCTGTAGCTTCTATTAAAATAATACAAGACAATCAGGAAGAGACAAGCATGCAAGCCACGTTGAAATACCTGATCCATTTATTCAAGGAAACAAGCTTACTGATACCTAACATCCTGGGCCAAAGGTGATGAAATAACTGAAGAATGTAAAGTTACAACTCCTGCAATGACAGAATTTCCCAACTAAAGTAGTCCTAGGACAAGTTCAAAGAGACTGAAAAGATTAATGATACAGCATCCCCAAAAGCTGGCTACTGATAGCCGTGGAAAAATACCCATTGAAGTATTCCAATTCCTCTCCTTATTCTCTCTCAACCCTGTTAAATTTAAACTAAGCTAAAGATAAAGATGAAGATGTGGATTTCGGTTCACTCACTCGTGAAGGTGGGTGGGTAAAGGGAAGACTTGAGATAGTGGAATAGTGAGGTGGAAGAAAAGAAAATCTAACCCTATGCCTTACAGTGAAATTTCAATTAAGAAGCCATTAATGCAGAGAAATTATGGTGTTATAAACTAATACCTTAAATCTTTGAAAATCATGGTTAAAAATATGATTTATTAAGGATAAGCAGTGTACCATAATTCTGAAATCTGAAAACTAACCCTGTAAGACTTAAAACTACCCAAACTCTAATTTCTTTGGGGTCCCAGTCTTAGTTTACTGGGATTAATTAGAACAGTGAAACATCTATGATGGAAATCACAGGAGTTAGGCACCCAGTACCAAATTCCTTACTCATAATGTACAAATCTCTTAATACAACAGGAGCACACAACTATATATTACAACAGAATTGTAATCTTGTCATCTTAAATGTAATAGGGTATTTAAGAAACTTTTAAATGTACTTTGGAGCGTTTTATGCATTAAATATATATTGATGGGGAAAACAATGGAAGAAGAAAAAATAAAACTGATGTAAACAAACATCCCATTGATTGCAGGTTACCTAGAAACCATTTTTCATCTCCAGTTCATTCCACTGCCATCATTTAGAGGGAATGACTCCAGGGAGATGCTGAACACCCAGAATGGGCCAAAGGTCACAATCTATTGATAACGTGAAATTTGAAATTTGGGGGTGAAAAAACGTTTTCAATTATTCCACGAATTTATTAAATAAGTCAGGATTCTATTTAAAGAAGCTAGTGTTGGAACTGTGGGAAAAGAGGAGAACAGAGTAGTACAAGGCAGATGAGGAGGGTAGCCCAGCAAAACAGGGATGAGATAATCCTACAGACAGAAGAAAAAACATGGAAAAATAAAAACTTGAAAATACACGGGAGGAATTTAGTTACATAAATACCTTAAATATCATTCTGAGATTTTTCTAATGTCACCGGTGTGGAGAAAGAATTCCCTATGTTCTTGTGAAAATGAGAACTAGTGTACATTTCTTTCGTAACTCACCACAGAGGGCTGCAGAGGCTTAACTTTGGGTTGAATTACATAGCCAACTATATTTAATTGTTAACTAGCACAATGGTTCTCCTCAGAGGTGAAATTCTGTCCCCAGGGAACACGTGCCAACACTTGAGGGTCACGGATTAAAGGGCTGCTATTAGCATCTAAAGAGTAGAAGCTAAAGATGCTGAACATTCTACAATGCAGGAGAGTCGGCCTGCCCAACGATGAACTAGCAAACCCAACATACCAGTAGTGCTAGGTAAGAAACCTATCTCTTTTGAACATTTGTCTTCTGCTGACCTTTACCCCAGCCCATTTCTAAGTCATCTACTTATCAGAAGATAAACCACCACTGCAAGAGGACTCATTTTCCAATTGCCATAACCACGGTAGATGACTGGCTCAGAGTCACGCACAAGCTCACTGAGGTAATTCATGAGAGCAGGGTACAGAAACTGCAGACAATAACTTTTAAATCGTCCCTCAGGTTCCGTTCTCAGGTTCCGTATCAGGAGTGTCTCTTCTGTGGTTGGTGCTTTAAAAATCCACTGACTTAGTCAAAATACAACGTTCTCATTAAAAAAATAAAAATATAAAGGGTTAACAGTGTTTGCTGTCAGAGGCTGAAGTGGGTGGGAAAAATAAAACCCAAAACAACAACAAGTACCCAGGTCTTTAAAATGTGAACTTACTTCACAGTGTGCTTGCAAAATGACTCAGATCATTATTACTTTTAATCCTGCCAAGTTTGGTTCTTCTAAACCTACTAGTAATGGAGAGTAAGGGGGGGGGGGGGGGAATCCTGCGGTCATTAAACCAATGACACAGAAGCTTACTGAAAACAGGTTTGTGCAGTAATATTTCTTTCCTTACAACTGTTATTAAAAAATGCAAGCAAAGGCTTGGAAGTGCAAATGAAGATTCTTAGAAATCTTTCATCCACCAAAATAACGATGGCATGTGGGCAGAAAACAGGCCAACGAAAGGAAGCCTTAACTCCCTGAAACTGGAAATCTTAAAGCTGTGACTTTTTTTTTTTCTTCATGTAACCCACGGTCAGAATCTTGGCTCCTTCCGATCACTGTGCTCAGTCGGCTTCAAGCAATTGGAAAAGACCTCCGCCTGAGATTTCAGCCAGACAAAGGTGCTGCTAGGAACAAATGAACGCCTGGCTTGGTCTTAGCAAACCTCACTCATCAGAACCCACCCTGTCCCCACGGCCCTGTCGCTCCTTTCCCGGCAGTTTCCTTCCCGGGAGCATCTTCCCTTTCTTATGACTGGCGCAAACGCCACCCCAAGTTCAGCATGCTCCATGCCCCCAACCATCTGAAACCCCAGCGCCCGGCGCAGTCCATCCTTCGCGTAGGCTCAATACAATCCGTGCTCTTTTCGCTCTCGGGGACGCCATCGGAAATTGACAGGCGAGACATCCAAGCCCACCGAGGCCCCAACAAAGGTTCGCTGACTTCACCCAGCGTGGCGCTCCCCCCACCCCCGACAGAGAAGAATACTCCAAAAATAAACACACAACCACAACAAAGATGACCTGGGCGGAACACCCCAGATGAAGGGTGTTCCACAACCCCGGGGGTCCATGGGGTTATGTTGTATCACGATCGCCCCTCCCCAAGGCTGAGTTCAACTTCAAAGCAAAGAGGGTCTCGGCGCGCGCGCCCCGCCGCCTCCACGCGCTCCCGGGCTCCCCACGCGGCGCGGGGCCCGGGGAGGAGAGTTCTCTCCGCCCGGGGAGCCGCGCCGGCGAAGGGGGGCGGGGGGGGGGGAGCCGGGGAGGGGAGCCCGCCTCGGCTCTGCTCCAGCCAGGGCTCCGGCTCCGGGTCCGCTCCGAACCTTCCCCGGGACGTTGACCGACGCGCCCGCCGCCCTCCCGGCTCCGGATCGCCCAGGGCCCCGCCGCGGCCCTCACCGAGCAGCAGCAGCTTGACCTCCCGCGCCGCCTTCTCGCCATCCTCGCGGAGGTTCCGGTCGATCATCTTACTCCGCTCCACCGCCGCCTTGTCCTCGGCGCTCAGCGTGCAGCCCATGGTGCCTGGAGCGCCGGGGCCGGGGCCGAGCACAGGTGAATGCGCCCGGGCTCAATGCGGGCGCGCGGGCGGGCGTGCGTTCGGACACCTCCCGACGGTGGCCACACCGCTCCCGGCACGTCCTACTCGGAGTCTCCCCAGGCGGCGGCCGTTCACCTGCACAGTCCGGCGGCTGCTCAGCAACACCACCCTCCCACCCACCCCCCTACTTCGCCCCGCAAGTCCTGGCCTGGAAGATTCGGGGTTCAATCGCTAACGGCCCTCCCGCCGCCGGCAGAGCCGCAGCCGCGCCAAACCCGGGCGAGCTCTCCAGCGTCCGCGCGCGCCCGCCGCCGCCGCGGCCCCGCCCCGGCCGGCCCCTCCCACCACCCGCGACCACTCCCAACGCGTGCACCCGCCCGCCCCCGCGCACGTGCCCTCGGACAGCGCCCACCCCGCCCCCGCGGCGCGCGCTCGCCGCCCACCCGCGGCCCCACCCCCCCTCCCCCGACCCCGGCCAGGCCAGGCGCGCGACCTGCAAGTTACCCCGGAGCCCGGAGCTGCCCAGCCGGGCTGTGGCCTCCTGGCCCTCGCCCTGCCCCGCGCCCGCGCCCTCCGCGGCTGAGTGGGGTGGTTTCGCCCCTCCTCGCTGTGCCTGGGAATCTGTGTGTGCCTGTCCTTTTGGGTGGGGTGGGCCGGTGGGCGAGCTGCCAAAGTTGGAAGGAAAGAAGCCAGTCGTGGGCTGGGCGGCATCGGAGCATGCCCGACGCCCGCAGCCGCGGAAGGGTGCTGGGGTTGGCTAGGTTGGCCCAGACCGCTGGCCTTGGGGCAAACAGGGGAGCCCAGAGGAGCTTGGAGAGGAACCGGGGCCCTGGAGAAGGGGATCGCCGGGGAAACCAGGATCAACTTCCTTCGTGTTTTCTCTTGCCTTCCCTCTCGCTTTCCTGTCCTCTATCCATTCTCACCTTCCTTAACAGAACCCATTTTGAAGGATTTCTTCACTCTACGAAAATGTGAGACGAAGAAGCAAAAGTATATTTTGAAATGACAAGGGCGATAAAACACACCCACACAAACAAGTCTGTTCTCTGACAGGAGCAGATCCCTTTGAGTACACAAGTAAGCTCCCTTGCCGAGTTCCAAATCCATATTTATGACCCTGTTAAGGACCTCCTACACCAACCAGTGGGCATGTCGTTCCTTTATGCAGTACCTAGTTTCCTTGACTATTATTTATGGGATAATTGATGGCTTACAATGAGGAATTGTTCCACACTATTGCACCAGTCTTCCAGCAAGAGATTCAGGGAAATAGAAGCAATGAATGAAGGAATAAATGAATGTCTAGTCTCTCCCAGTAGCTCTGGTACACCTGATAGATACACAGGAAACATTGACTGACTAGACCACAAAACTAGTATCGAAAAACATTTCTATGTTGTTGTTGTTAAGGAAATTGTTGTTTCCATCTGAAAGTTTTGTTTTCTACATAATAATTTTGGAAAAACTGCCTTGAGTTTTCTAAACGTAAGCTGGACTGATGATGCAGGCAAAATAGCTTTAAGGTGGATCATTGAGGCCAGCATACCAGTTAGCTACCTTTTCTCACTTCCTTTCTGGCTCTCCTACAATAATCAAACCCTGTTGGGCTCAAAACATACACGACGGACTTTTGTAATGTAATAACAACCAAAACAGAGCAACTGCTACCCTTTCTGTAACTCCTGGAAATTGGATGTTCACCAGGAACTCTAGGATTAAATGTAATAAAATTAACATTCAATGGTGTTTGTGTACTAGCTATTTAGGATTAGCTATTGCCACGAGGTTTTCATTGTTTTAGTTGCAAAATCTTTGTTTATACATTTAGTTGAATTGGAGAAGGGAAGGGGAACAACAGAATGGTGAGACAAAGAACAAGGGGAATCAATGCAACATACACAAGACAATTTGTTGGAAACATCTGTACAACTTGAGAAGGGGGTTGGGAGGAGGGAAAGTAGGAGAAAAATGAAGGCAGAAGTAACAAGGTTGACAAGAAATAAGTGTACCCATTACCTTACTTATGTAATTAAAACCTCCTCTGTACTTCACCTTAACAATAAAAAAAGAAAACAAAAAAATCAACTTTGAAGCTTTGTTCAAAAACATATTACAAGAGATGACTAGTTTGAAAGGAACATTTTTACATTTTTAAATCATTTATAATAACAATAAAGGTGATGTACAGAGGGGTTACAGTTGCATAACTCATCATGTGAACAGTACATTTTCTTTTGGACAATGTTTCCTCACTTTCTCCCAATTCCCCCCCATCCAGTCACAAGTTATATAGCTCATTTTCAACATAGTGTCTGGTGACTACTATTGCTGCAGTTATACAGTGGATTTATAACTACTTGCTTCACCAGGTAGAGTGTAGGACCAAAAGTCTTAGTCAAAGAGGAATTAATTATGACTCAGCACTGGTAGAAACAATTGCAAAAGCTGTGCTTTGGAGAAATGGAAAACTGACAATATTATACGTATTGCCTATAGCCAGTGAAAAGTTTACTAAGGGAATGAGGAGTTAAATGTAAAATACACAGAGAATAAGAACTGCCAATTTGCCTTGTATGAAGTAAAACTTCTAAAAGGATGTGATGTAAGATAGTTATCAATGTGTGCAGAAATTATAGGAGAAAATCATTTGGAAAAAATTTTGAAGGAAGTAATGACAGAATTGGTGTGTGATTTAAAGTTTGTCAGTATATGCTTCTACAGCAAAATTTCATAAACAACAATTTCTCACATTTCTTGAAGTCAGTAAATCTGAGATTAAGATACCAGTTGATTGACTTTTCCAGGAAGGGCTTTCTTCCTTTAGAGGGTCAGCTTCTTGCTGTATCCTCACATGGTGATGAAAACAGGGAGAAAAAAAGAAGGAAAAAAAGAGAGAAAAAAGGACATTTGTGGACAGGAATATGGTAGTACTAGCTACTCAGAAGGCTAACATCTGAGAATCAAAGTTCAAATCCAGCCCAAGAAGGAAAGTTCATGATAATCTTATATCCAATTAAGCACAAAAATCTGGAAGTTGACAGGTGCCAGTGGCTCACACCTATAATCCTAGCTACTCAGGAGGCTGAGATAAGAGGATCATGGTTCAAAGCCAGCCAGGGCAGGAAAGTCCGAGAGACCCTTATCTCCAATAAACCACTAGAAAACTGGAAGTGGTGCTATGGCTCAAGTGGTAGCATGCCTTGAACTGAAGAGGGCAGGGACAGGGCCCAAGCCCAGAGTTCAAGCCCGAGGACCAAAAAAAAAAAAAGCCTGGAAGTAGAACTGTGGCTCAAGTGTTACCCTTGAGCAAAAAAGCTCAGGGACAGTGCCCTGGCCGAGTATTCAAGCCTTAGGACAAGGTCACTAATCTCACTTTATAATCTCATCTAAACCTACTTAGCTACCAAAGATCTCTCCAAATACCATCATATTGGGTGTTAAGACTTCAAGTTAGAAGTTTTGTGGAGACATAAGCATACAATCTAAAATAAGGAATATTTTGTTTCAGAGGAACCACCAGCTAAAGGATTAATATAGATAGAAGTTAACAACTAACATAGAAATGCATTTTGACACTGATAGGACATGTAAAACAAAATCAAAAGAGAGATTTAAATATTAAAATGAAGAGTTGAACTGAATACGTTTAGTACTAACTGTCCCGAGATTCTCCAGGGGTTAGGAAATGGCTTTTTAATCATCATGTGTAAAACAAAAGAGTTAGCAACAAGGGGATGGTAGTGGCAATAGAGTATGAGGTGGTAAGAGGGTAATTCTGAGAACTAATAACTTACATAATTATGAGCTGCAAACTATGATTCAATAACCCTGTCAAGAGGGTGGAGTAGACATTATTAACTCATCGCTTTTATAAAGAGTGAACGAGTGCAATTTAAATTACAGAGGTTAAAGTACTCTCTCAGAGTACTGTTTTCCTTTCTGAATGTCATATTTGTCATAACAACTTTATTGAAATATAAATCTTGTTCCATAGGCTTTACCTATTTAAAGTGTGCAGTTGAGTAGCTTTTAATATATCCAAAGAGTTGCACACAGGCCATTGTAGAACATTTTCTACATCCAAAAAAACAATTCCATACTCTTCAGTCATCATCCCTAATTCTTCCACTCTTCCAGTTTCAGACAATCACTAATCTAATGTTTTGTCATAGTTCCCTATTCTGTACATTTTAATAAACGAAATCATGTAGTATGTGGTCTTGTATAACTAACTTCTTTCATTTAACATGTCTCATTATTTCATTCCTTTTTATTGCTGAATAATTCTGAGCATCATATGTCAAGAAACAAACATATGTTAAGACACAAATTAGAACATATTTAGCTGAGAGCATCAGGTTTTAAAGGAAATCTAAACTATGTCAGAAAGTGCATTTGGAGGAACTAGTGGAATTTAATTTAGGAATGGGAAAGCCAAGTGATCTCAATGTTATTTCCAAACAACCGAGGAGAGGCCAGAAACAATAGCCATTTTGTGTATCACTTTTGTATCATTAATTTAGAAGTATTGAAAATAAAAAAACTACAGAAAGTAAAATTTTGCTTTGGGTAAGAAAAAGTTGTATACAATTCCAACAAAAAGAAATAGGTAATTTCAAAAGCTTGTTCATTCTTGATTAAAATGTAAAAATCAAGATTAGTTGATCTCATATTGGGTACAACCTCCATTAGTATGAACTTTTAAGATCAAGTCCAACTCCGAGATTCAAACTAGTTTGTTAGCACTTGTAACAAAAATACCATCTTTCCTTAATATATTTTAACACTTAAAGAATTTTAATTACTCCAAATTAAAATTAACTTTGGAGATGTTTCTTCCTGCTAAGTATATGTTGAGATTATTGTTGATGAGTTGATGAGGCCAGTGACAACAATAATATGTAAATAAAGGATATATACATGTATATGAATTTCTCCTCCTCCCATCTATCTCATGCATAAAACATTCATTGGGAAAGATATAAATAAAATGAACTGTCAATAGCAATTATAAGCTCTAGGCATATAATCAAGTAATCTTAGAGTGATTCAAACTTCTGTGTTTAACTACACACATATTAGAAAGTCCTTCAGCATCTAATTTAATATCAAGATATAAACAAAATTGTATTGAATTAGATTATACACAAGCT